CTGAGCATGTTATATTTAGGGATGGACACACAGACACACACAGACACACAGACACAGACACACACACACACACACACACACACAATTAATGAAAAAGGGCCATGGATTTGAAGGAGAGTGGTGAGGCATGTATGGGAAGGTTTGAAGGGAGGAAAAGGAAGGGAGAAATGTTATTATGTTATAATCCCCAAAATTAAAACAAACACCCTCCTAGACAATGTTTAAACACCCACTCTGCTCTTGTTCTGGAGCAAAGTACTAATTAGACTTGCCTTTTAGAGATGTCTGGAATTGTTCCAGGTAGGATAAAAATCAATAGTGACATTCTTTGCTCTCAGAGAGTCCCCAAGTATAAATTTAGTTTTTCGTGGATTTCCCACAGCAGCCACCTTTGAGCAGTGGTGGAACAGGACGTGCAAACCGAAGGCTCCCTGGGGCAGAGAGATGTGTTGAATAGGGTCTAGTGCTCTCACTTAAAAAAAAAAAATTGGAAAATAAAATGGATGTCTAGGCTGGCCAGCATGTCCCATAAAGCATTTTGATCAAAGATGCAGTTTCTGCAGCACTGAGGAATGGCTGGGGAGTCCATAGGAATGCAAGGGAGGTACAGCAGCTAAAATCTGGTCCCTGCTGTCCCATAGACAGACGGCAACGTCCTGATAGATGCTGCTCCAGGGAAACCTAATGTTTCTTTAAACATTCAATTATGGTTACACAAACACATATTTTAAGCCACCAGCAGATCTTTGCACAAATTAGGGATGCTGGAAGGCAAATCAAACAGATCCCCTGAAAGGAGTATTTCATAAGAATCCAGCTCTGCTCTGTCAAGAGCTGTCTTACCAGGCAGGGGTTTGAGGAGGATAATGAGGGGGCTCTGCCAGCATCAGACTAGATGACACTTCTTGCGATTGAAGGGGCCAAAGCCACTCTTAGTTCAGCTTTAATTGCTGAGCACGGTTTAAATGATAACAGATCTCAAGATATCCAGTGGTTCCTTGCTCAAAAAGTAGACAATTTTTTGCTCTCTGGGAGTTGCTTGAGGCTGTTCAAAGGTCTTTTGAAAAATGGTCCTGTGCCGTATGCTCTTTAATGGCTGGGGCACATCCATCTTTCCTATTTTGAAACATTTCTACTTTTCACATTTTTGAAATAAAGTTCCTTCCTAATCTCTATGATACTTTCTTATTGTAAAACAATAAAGTCTTCTTTTATAGTACCCGTATTCAGAGCTATGTGGCATACATAACATTTTAAAATTAAAACTGAAGGCCATGTATACGATTTCTTAATATGATATTTACATAGGGTACATCATGGAATTTCTTTTACAACGGTCAAGCTCTTCATCGTTTTATTCATCTTCTTCCAATTTAATTTTGAGGAAGAGACTCAGCAGTGAATGACTTTGAACCTGGGGCTAATCCCTAGCTGTAACAGTCTGGCTACCTGATTGGTCAGGCCCTCTACTGTCTTGGGTCTTAAATATTTAAATGACCTGTTCTCATTTCTTACAGCTTCATTTGACTAAACTTTCTAAATTGGATCTCCTGGGCCAAAGGCTATGGAAATTAAAATTTAATTAAAAGGTGCATGATTAATTACATTTTGTGTCTTCCAACATGAGGAGAATTGTAACAACTTTACCTTCCTCACAAAGCTGTACATTCACAAAGCTGTACATATTCATGACTTCATTTTTAGTAGACATATCACCTTTTTTAAAAGGTTACACTGAATATTTGAGCAAAAATATCATTAAGAGAGCAATACCAGAATGTCTGAATTACGAAAACATTACTGTTAAACAGACTGTGATCTTTAAAATTGGCACAGGTGGGGACTGAGGAAAAGCTGAGAGGGGAGTGTTTACTTAGTGCACACAAGGCCCCCAACACTGCAAAATTAAAGTCAGTACAACTGCTATAAGTAAACCAAAGCTACTGTATCTCAGAGGGATAACTATGTATTCACTATGTATTTTAAATTTAAATTAATTATGATGATTTTTAATTAAGGTTTTGTTTTGGTTTGTTGTTTTTGTTATTTTGGCCAGGGCTGGCATAAAAAATACCTATATTGCCCATTCTAGCCTTAAACTTGTGGTGAATCTTCTGCCTCAGCCTCTTGAGTGCTGAGAATACAATTTCACCACTGTGCCCAGATGTTCCAGATACTTCAAAAAAAAGAGATTCATTTCTTTTTATTTTCTGAGTATGGGTGATTTGGCTCTAGCATGTATGTGTACCTGGGGAGTACAGAGCCCAGGAAGGCGAGAACAGAGCACCAAATCCCCTGGAATTGGAGTAACAGACAGCTATGAGCTGTCATGTGGGTGCTGGGAAGAGAACCCAGTCCTGCACCAAGTGCTCGTAACCTCTGGAGCATATCTCCAATCCCATAATCCATATACTCTAAAAATATAGACAAAGAGATTAGGAAGCAAGAAAGGAAGAAATTGAGAAAAAAGCATTTCATGTTTCTACCTTTTCTAATTTTGAGGTTATTTTAGGAAAGGCCTAAAGGATTGGACAGGAATAAATTAGGGCACCTTTGAGATGATTTTCCACACAAGTTATCCTTTGTCTGGTTGTCAGCATGCATTATGCTATCTTCAGTAACAGAGGGTAAATCACTTCCAGAGGGAGCCATGAACAGAGCAATTAAGCCACTTTACAAACCTAGAGAAGCAGATGGAGCCAAGACAGCATTTTCTATGGAAGGGCATGTCAATAATGATGCTAAGTGAAGCAATGGTACAGCGTTGTACAAAGACTGCTGTGTCAACTAGAGACATCCAAAGCAAAGCCATGTTTATAAGGTGAAAATCCACCTTGTACTTGCCTTGTCACCCAGGGTTTGCACATTGGATTATTTTGTTGTTATTCTTTGTTTCATTTCTCCCTACAGTCTTCTATGTTCTGTTGTGGAACAGACTCTTTGAGTAAAAACAGAAAAGGATTTCATAAGATCTTTCCACTCTTCTACCTGCAACTCTAAGGCCATCTGCAAACTCAGGGTCACAGCCTCCTCTGTGCTAGGCAACATGTTCCTACAATGGCCAGATACCCAGAGCAGGTTGCAACACAGCTATTTCTAGGCCCTGCTGCCAATAATAACAACCCTTGGAGACACATGACCTCATGGATGTCTTTACAAAATTTTTGTTTGTTTTTCTGTGTCTTTTCAGAGAGCATCTAAAGTACCAGCTACTTTTCTCACTGCTGTGACCAAACATTTGACCAGAATCATCTTCAGGGAAGAAGGTTTACTTTGATTTACAGTTTGAAAACATGATCCATCATGGTAGAGAAGGCATGGTGATAGGAGTGTGAGCTTGCTGGTCACACTGCATCCACGGACAGGAGGAGAAATCGGACAAGGGAGATAGATTATGAAGTCTCAGGGTCTGCCACTAGTGACCTACCTTCTCTAGAGAGGTCCCACCCTTTAAAGGCTTCCCAGCATTCCAAACCAGTGCTACCATTTGAGAAGCAAGTGTTTAAACACCTGAGCCCACAGAGGACACTTCACATTCTAACCATGCCCTCTACTTACCTCCATGGAGATATTTCCAAAACCATATGCACGCAGCAATGCAAAAACTAAAAGGTGAATTTCCCACAATATTTTTACATGGACAAAAATAGAGGAGGGGCTGGGAACATTGCTCAGTGGCTATAGTTCTTGGTATAGAAACGTGATGACTTAAATTCTGATTCCCTAGCACCCACATAAAAGCCACTGGGAAACAAAGACAAGAGAATCCTCCTGGAGGCTTTTCCAGGGAAATCTTAGTGTCTAGCTCCAGGTGTCTCTAAACAAGACAAATCAAAGAAACAAACAACCCCCCCCCCAGAGTGGAGAAAGCAATGGAGGAAGTGGCTGTCTGTCTCACATATGTAGACACACATTGGTATGCACAGGTGTGAGCCTACACCTGCATATGCATACACACCAATTACATTGTCTAGAAAGATCTTCTAAAAGGTTTACTTTCCGAAGACATCCACATAAAAGCAAAATAATATTCTCTTCAGAACTCTTGAGTATTCAACCCATGTGCCCAAATCTCTATTTTCAAGTCATCAGGATACAAGAAAAAGCTAAAACATGTCATTTCTTTACTGTTTTTCTAGCCTTTGATCCACTCGGTGGTGAAAGCTAGGCATGAAAGGAAAAAACACCAAGTGGCAGGTTGCAGATCCCAGGGAGCAGGCTGTGCCATTTACATATACTGATTTTCGGCACTCTGTGGCCTTAGATGCTACATGTCAGGACAGGTGGTTCTTCCATCTGACTGTCTCAATGCCACAAACTCAAGCTCTGACACAATGAAAGGCATGGTCTGCTCATATGGAGATTGATCCTGGTTTCTGCAACTACATGTCCCTGGTGGTTGTCTTCTCTCCTCTGTCAGTCCCCCTCCCCATCCCCCACACCCCCAGGGAACCCTCATTCTTCAAAGTTACGAAGAGGGTTGGTTCTCTTGCAAAGGTAAAATTGCTGCTTTAAACCACGTAGGACCTGACAAATAGAGTTAATCTTTTAAGTATAGGCTGCTCACTGGAAAACCTCATTAGCTAAAGTAAGAATTAAGTAGATGAGAGAAGTCCTTTGCAACTGTGGTTCTTGTGGGAGTGTCAGAAGGTAAAGGAGACATGAGAAGTTGATCTTAGGAGACACCATTTCCCCTGAGAAGCCATACATGAAACATAACAAACCTATTCTCTCAGAAAGAAAGAACAAACAAATTTTAAAAAACTAACAACAACAACAACAAAGAAACCCAATGTACTATTTTCTAAGAATTTATAATTTCTTCATTAAAGAGTCAAAATTTTGAAAAAAAAAAAAGGCATAAGATGAAGTTTATTACACTGGAGCAAGCTCATGAGATTGAATACATCCTGATGGGGATATAAAAGATAGAGCAGTTTTGACTGGACATTGCCCTAACTTTCTCTGCTGCTCTGTAACCAAGAATGACCTTGACTTACTCATTCCTTTCCAGGCTGAGGATCAGTTCTCGGCTCTCCAGCTGCAGTTGCACAGTCAGCACATCTGGATGATCCTGAAAAATGAACAGGAAGAGTTAGCAGTTGGCTTTGCCTTGCCAACATCTGGATGTTCTTCATCAGTATTGTCAGTGGAGAGGGAAGAGGGGGGTGTTGAGATTGATTGGGAGAGGAAGGGGCAGGGGAGGGGCATAAGAGACAGATAATAGATTGGATAGATGGATGGATGGATGGATGATAGATGGATGGATGATGGATGGATGGATGGATAGATAGATAGATAGATAGATAGATAGATAGATAGATAGATGATTTTATTCTTGGGGATTTTTTCAACTTCAAATACTGAAGACCAGAGCAACAGTGTTAGAAAATGGGACCCCTGCCTCTGATGTGGCCATTCTACTCTTCTCCTTTAATGATTCTTCCTCTGAACCCTCCCCTCTCATCATAGCTCCATCCACCCTACCTACCCTATTCATCCACCCTTTCTTTAGTCTTCCTGGACTGTACAAAGGGCAACCTTATTCATTACCTGCTTGTGGCAGAAAACTATCGTTCAGGCTCCATGGCTTTTGCCTCCTCTACTGGACCCAGGAGCAGTCCTGCAGAGCTGCTTTCTACAGCACCTCTGCTGCTCCCGTAGCTCCTTCCCATCCTCCCCTCCAGCCTGTTCCTGTTCAACCCATAGGCAACTCTCCTCAGTACATGACTTCCTCCTGTAAATCCTTCTAATCCAGGTTCTCCTGGGTCTGCCTTTGCTTTCTCCTCATCTATTATCTAGCAGTGGAAGGACACTTAAAACTTCAATCTTACAATGTGCCTCTGCTTGTTTTCCATTGCACTGATAGGGTACTACCTTTGAACTTGGTCTGTGGTTCTCAATGTCCTCTCCCCTGCAGGCTTCCACATGCTGTTCACATGCCTTCACTGCCCTCCTCCCTCCTAACCTGGCTCTAGTTCCTGACCTTGCCTGCTTTTGGAATACAAGACTTGTCCTGCTGCCCTGAGAATTTGCACATGCTTGCTTCTCTACCTGCGATGCTTTTCCTGTCTAGTGGAATGAGCTTAAAAATTAGCTATTAGAAGAAGTGTCACATTACCATCAACCTCTTACTGTCCTGTCCTTTCCCCTATGAAAAGGAATGGCATCATATACTTGTGATTGGTATGTTGGCTTGCACATCTTTATAGCCACCAGAGGGCTGGGTGGGAAGTGAAGGAAGAAATTCACCCATGCCAGAGAAATTGCTCTGTAGACATCTTTTCCTCTTGTTACACAGCCTTCCCTTCCCTAATCCATATACCCCAAGCTCAGTGTAGATAGCCTAGTCCTGGGGATGGTGCTGCCCATATTTAGGGTTGATCTTTCTACCACAGTGACCCTAATCTAGACAATCTCTCACAGGCATGCTTGTGCCTAGACACTTGTCTCCAAAGTGATTCTATATCTTATCAAGTTGAAAACCAGTATAAACTACCACAGTATACCAGTTGGGGGCTGAGTGGTACAAGAAATATTCAGTGGAGGAAGGGAATGGAAGGAACATTCATTCCAATCCACTCATTACACTGGACATTTTTGTTTAAAAGCATGCTTGCATCCATTTTCCTAATTGTTATTGACCGGAGGCCATAACACACACCATTCTTTTTTCTTACGATGATATATTGACGGATTTACCTAATGGAACTACATCCTTTGTTGGATGTGCAAAGAACTGTATTTGCTGAACCAATCAATCAAATGCTAATCAATAAGCCCAAGATATTTAGGCAGTCACTATTATCCTATCTTTTTAAACTTGGAGAAATGCCTCTAAACAAATATGTAAAGTACATCAATGTACATTTTAAAAATAAAATAAAATAAAATAAAATAAAATAAAATAAAATAAAATAAAATAATGATAGGGTATATATACTACACAGCTGAAAATATAGACTATTCCCAGAATTCTAGAAAGCCCTTTCACTAGTTTGCTTTTCTGTTCCTCTGATAAACACAGCTACCAAAAGAAACCTAGGGAGGAAAGAGCTTATTTGTCTTACAGACTATAACCCATCATTGCGGGAAGTTAAGGCAGGAACTGAGGCAGAGACCATGGGGGAATGCTGCTTACTGGATTGTCTCTCCTGGCTTGCTTGGTTACATTTATTATACAGTCCAGGTCTACCTGTGTAGGGATGGCACTGCCCATAGTAAGTTGATGCTATCTTTTGCACAGCTATGGTCTAAACTTTTCTTAGAAGGATGCCTGCCTTGTTGAGTTAGGACCTACCTATATGTTATGGACTAAACCTAAAATGTCCTTCACAGGTTCATGTTTTGAATGCTTGATTCCCAGTTGGTGGTGCTTTGGGGGTATTGTGACACTTTGAGCAAGTCCAGTCTACTGATGGAGATGAGTCACTAAGGGCAATCTCTTGAAGGTTTTTTTTCCCCCTCCAGCCTCTGATTCTGGCTTTGCCTTCTGTTTCCTGGGCCTTCTTGAAGTGAAGAGCCTCTGCTGATGTGTTTCTGCCTCCATAAACTGAGCTGACGCTCATTGCTTCCCTGCCACAATGAACTGAAATCATGAGTCAAATTAATTGTTTCCTTCCTAAGATGTTCTGTGAAATAGTTTGGTCACAAAGTCAAGAAAAGATTATTATTGCACACTATGACCTCAGTTTACCTGAGTAGCCTCTTAAAGACCTTCTCTCTAGATGTTCCACATTTCAAGGAGAGGGGTTAGAGCTTCAGTATAGATCTGGCAGGGTCAGGCATGTGATTGAATCTATAACGTCCCTTCTTCATTCTTACGTTCCACTCATTGCTCACCAGATGTAACAACTATCCTGAACCCATTAATCACTAACTAATATTACTTAGCATCTTGATTTCATTTACAGTTTATTCATACACTAAGTATTTCTAAACGAACACTAGCCTTATACTGGGCTCATTCTTCTATGGCTCAGCTGGTTTTGCTTAATTTTATACCTGTAGGGATTATTGGCTCTATGTGTTGTTCATCCTTATAGATTTACAATATTCTATTGTGTAAAACAACTTACATACCCACAGTCATGTAAATAGATGCTCACTGATTTTTTTTTTCTGATCCTTTCTCTGTACATGACTTCACATATCTGTGTCATGTCTGCAATTGAATAGGTTCTGTGGGTGATAGGATTTGTCCACTTGCCTTCATTGGGCATTTCAAATTAATTAATAATTAATTAATTAATTGTTTCTAATGTACGGATGGATCACATTCCCTCAGTTACTGGATACATATTCCTGCTACTTCATGTCTTGGATATTTGACAAAGAAAAAAAGTTAGACAAAAAAAATTGCTAAGTATATGAGAGCACTTTATTGAGAATTTATTTGTTTTAAATCTTTTACATCTGTTTGTTGATTGGGAGCCAGTGCTATGGCACACATGTGGAGGTGAGTGGACAACATGCCAGAGTTGGTTCTCACCTTCAATCACATGGATTCCAGACCTTGAACTCAGATCATCTGGCTTAGACGCAAGCCCCATTACCTCTTGAGCCATTTATAGCCTAAGGCTTTAGCTTATATCTCTACTATCGGTGACAGGCAGAGAATCTTTGGGACATGTGATACTGCTCTTCCATGAAAATCCAGCTCATACTTCCTACCCCTGAGCCACATCCTCATCCCTTTAGAATTTATTAGTGGTAGATTTTACCATGGAGAGTGTGTGCTCTGTTGCACAGGTGGATACCTGCTTGCTAATATCAATTTTCTACCAGAAAGCAAGAGATCAGTAATTCACAGATGAAAATTACCATCCTTTCTTTTCCTTCCTTCCACAAGTGTGCATACACCATACACTCGCACGCACATGTACACACATGCTGAATTTTCAATTACTTAGAAAAATTTGACCGTGACCTTGAAGCTGAAGCCCTGTGGCGGTGGCTTGGCACAGGCTCAGCAGGAGCAGAGAATCACCTTCGATAGCCACGTCCATTCCCATCACAGCCTTGAGGTCGTCTTTTCCAAGGGGTCCACTCAGAGCCAAAGCCATCCATCTAAACCATCGTGCTGGAAGGTCAGAGGGATCTCATTTTTCAGGCATAACAACAGCATTAAAATACTGCACTGAAGGGAGCTGGGGAATAGCTAAGTCCCTTTCCTGCACTAAATAAATGCTTCAGACTGCAGCTCTGGCATTCATGGGGCACAAGGGAGGCATTTATTGCTATGAATATTTAGAGGCATCTTGATTACCACTTTAATATTAGCATGTTAGCTCTATAGCCAGCAAGATCTGCACACCATGGAACATGGGGAAGACAAAACTGAAATAAATGCAGGCTAGCACAGTGAGGAATTAAGGCACTGCTGCACCATCACGGGAGGTCCCTGGCTTGGGGCCTGTTAGTTATTACATAAGTGATACTGATTTTTATCCATGAATTGGTGATGGTTTTTTCTTTTTGCAGTGGAAAATTGATATTAGCAACCCATGTGTCCAACTGTGAACAGAAAGCACAAATTCTTCACAGTAAAAGCTGCTTTTGGTGGATGCATAATGGGCTGGGATTACAGACCAGTGGTAGAGAACTTGTATAGCATGTATAAGGCCCTGAGTTGAATATCTAGCACTGCCAGTATGTGCACACATGCACAATCACATGTGTATGTGCACATTCACACATATATGTGCGCAAACATATGAAATGAAGTTTTTGTCTTCACTTTCCATCATTTTTACTGGGAAATCTCTCACTTCATTCTGTGACCTAAGAGACACCACAGCTTTTCAATTCATTACTCCCTCTGGGGAGCATATGTATATGTCAGAGAATGTATATCCCACCTTCCCCTGGCCCAAGTAGGACTTTGCTTTCCCTCAACATGGATACCGCCCCTCCCCCCAGTCCAGTTCTTGATCCTCTAAAGTTCCTGATCATGGAACTAATTATCTTCTTGTAGCCATACCCAGCATTCTAAGGTCTAATGTTGAAATGTTATCCCTGGGTTCTCTGAGTGGCCTAACCACTGGCTGTTGGCCATTGGCCATTGACCTGGTC